CTCTCTCTCTCTCTCTCTCTCTCTCTCTCTCTCTCTCTCTCTCTCTCACACACACACACACACACACACACACACACACACACACACACAGCAGTTGTGCAAGTTGAAGATGCAGGCATGGATTGGTTGGCGGCAGGCGCTCCAGATGGGGAGCTGGAAGATTGGATGCTGATCATGCCAGTGGTGTTCGTCGTAGTGCACCATGACTTTGTTGCAGGCAGCTGCTGCATTGTCGTTCCAAGTCGCTGGTGTGGGTGACAAACCTGGCTATCATGGTCAGATGCATGATGCACAGCCATGTGATACAAAGTGCACCTGGCTATCATAGTCAGATGCATGATGCACAGCCATGTGATACAAAGTGCGGCCTTGAAGTTTGCAGAGCGTCGAGTGAGAAAGCAGGGACAATTGTGGGTATTGGAACACAGCTGGGGTATGTGTTCCAATCCGCAGATGGGCGGAGAGCGACATGACAAGGTCTTTCGGAGGTTTTGTCGCCTCCCGCACACGTTGTTCATCCTTGATATGATAGAACCCACATTCAACGACAGAACACCAACTGCAGGCGGCCATTGCCGACAGCTCTAAAGTTCACTTGCGCACTTGGGCATTGGGTAATGGGCACATACTACAGACAGTTTGGACACTCTCTGGGTGTTGGGTTGGACAGTGCCCAATGAAGCAATCTCGACATCGCCAAAGCACTCGTGAAGGAATGCGGCCACATCGCCAAAGCACTCATGAAGGAATGCGGCCACATCATCAGATTCACGGAGGGCCGTCCTCTGCAAGACACCCTGGGCCCTTTCGGGAGGAAAGGCTTTCCAGTGTGTGTGGGCGCCATAAACAGCACCCACATCTACATAGAGACGTCAAAGCCCGAGAGTGCAAAGTGCTACTACGACCGAACCGGGGGTCGCTCCATTGTCACATAGGTAATGTGTGACCACGAGGGGAGGATCTTGAATGTGTTTGTCGGTCGCCCCGGGTCGGTGCACGATGCCCTCGTACTGCGGTTATCGCCTATATACGCGGATGTTCAAAAGGGGAAGGGCAACTTCCATAGCGAAGCATGTACGTAGTGTGACGGTGGGTACTCACAGGCGAGACAAATACAGCAAGCAGAGCCCCAGCGGGAACAACATACACCACAGACACAGCTGGCACCAGAAACGCAATAGGCACAACCAGCACAACAACATGCACAACAAACAGAGCAGCCCCATCAGGAGCAGCAACCACGCCCGACAGAGCAATTATAGCAAACACAGCAGGGGCAACACGAGTTGGGGACACAACGGGCACAACAAACGCAACAAGTGCATCAAGCGTTGGCTCCAGACTTTTTGTTGGACGTCTTCGGAGCCTAACCAACGGACCTGGACACGACCCCTCCCCCTCCAGAGGTTGAAATGGAGGATAGTCAAAAGGACCCAGATGCCCCCCCCCCCATGAGATGGGCCTGGATCACAACATCTAGACAATCACAGTGGATAATCAAACACCTACATTGCGAGACTCCGTAGGGCGGGGAGAATGGAGGGGAGGAGTACTGGGCACGTCCTACGTAGAATTGGTCACACTTTTGAACAATAGCCCAACGCTTAGATCTGCGCTGACGACCGGTCCCCCGACCCATCTAACATGGGCGGAAGTCTTTCAGCGCATCCTAGTTATCACCCGAGGCCGTTTCCACCCTCCACCAGCCCCAGATCCTCCCTGCTTGGAAGCTCCGGGCGAGGAGCACAAACAGTATACCTCCTCTCCATCAGACACTCAACAAGGGGACAAAGGGGAAGCAATAGAGGAGAGGATGACCTCGCGATGACTCAAGTTGCGACAGCTCATTGAATGGGCCCTCTTTGAGTTGTGCCCCTCCAAAACAGATGGAGTGTCAGTGGTTCCAATGAGGAAGACGGAAGGGAAATGAGAGATTGGGCTCTCCCGGTAGGAGAACACGGAGAGGTGACACTGCAGGGATAGCACATATCGAGGATGTAAAAGAAAGGGACAAGGTCTTCACGAGACAAATGGAAGCCTTCGTCTCGAAACATTACGCACTTGGGGTGAGGGCGACAATGAGATTTGAAACTTGTGACCAACAGATGGCAAAGAATGACCTGTACATGTTGAACCAAATAAAACTGCCAAAATGCGCTGGTACAACCACAATGCATTGCTTGATCTGCAGTGCGCAAAGTTAAAAGCTAGTGACTGCTGGTCCGACAACGACGTGTGCAAATGTCTGTGCAGAATCTTGCGGAAGAAGGTCCTGAACCTAGATAGATGGGATGTCAAACAGTGGCATTCCTTGTGAATAATTTCCCCCCTAAGAAATGACTGACCTGAAAAGTTTAACACTATACTGCAGAAACCCTGCCTGGCAGCAATGCGTAAGAACGACGGACCTAGACCTTCGTTCCATCAATGTAAATCCAGAGAAATGTCAGGCCATTTGGGACCAGCTCAGAGAAGGGGGGGGGAGGCGGTGTCCGAACGTGATATGCGTCCAAGAGACTCATCTGCAGGATACACCGGAACATAACAGGGCTCACAAGATGGTTTG